TGCTTTGAAAATATTTGATTTCTGCTGGCTGCAGTAAAAAGACAGCTCCATGCCCAATGCATTTCAGGTCACTCTGGTTTCTTTGTTGGGGTGGAAGGCTCAGCTTCCAGATGACTAAGATGCTGAGACCCTCTTTTACCCCAGTGGGGGACCCAGAGGTTACACCTGTGAGCAGATGGTTCCTGTTCAGGGCACTGAGAGAGCACGTGCCCTCGTTAGGCAAACTTCCCCCCTCTGCAGCAGCAGGCTCACTGTCAGGGGTCTTGTCGCTTCCCCAGGTGAGCTGTACATCGGTGGTCAAGAGCACTTCTACCTAGAGACTCAATGCACCATCGCTGTCCCAAAAGGCGAGGCAGGGGAGATGGAGCTCTTTGTGTCCACACAGAATACCATGAAGACCCAGGTAGGTGTCCTGTGGCTGAGCTCAGGGGCCTGGGAAGGGCACCAGGGAGGTCCTGGTAGACCGCGAGTGGCAATATGGGGACTGGGATGAGGAAGACCTGGGCTGGTCCAGAAGGGGTTTTGAGGGGGTGGTCCTGGAGCCAGACCCTGTCACCAACACAAGGTGTCACTGAGCTTGTTACATAATCTTTGTCTTCTATAAACTAGGGCCTGGTCGGATTGTTGTAATGATCGGATGAGTTTTTATACTTGGATAGAGACTAGTAAGTGTTAGCTATTATTATTTCAGTGCTATGTAACCTTGATCAAAGCACATGCAGCTTTAGTCTCCGCATCTATAGGATGCAGGGGTTGGGTAAGTGAGAGCCAGACAGACCACTGAATTATCTACAGTACCTCAAATATTCCCCATTTCCCTACTTCCTGTGATGTGACAGTGGTTGCCAGCACTTTTGGCAGCTGGTCCTACCCTCGTGATCCACCAGTTCCTGGCCAAATAGAATGAGTTTTGGCTCTGAAAGTTTGCTGTGACCAGCTGCTCGCCCCTCTGGTTAAAAAGCAATATCTGAATTTAGTCTGTGGTGACTGATGAGTGCTGGACCCCAGTATCCCTACCTGAAAGCTGCACTGGGAGTGGATGGGAATTTTTGAATCTAGGAATCTCAGAATTCACAGCGGTAATCAGGCCTGTGCATATTAGGTAGGCTCTGGTCAGACCTAAAATAAGTCCAAATGATGCATTCAGGGCACATGTTTTTTTCCCCCCACACAGAGCTTTGTTGCAAACATGTTGGGGGTTCCAGCAAACCGTATTGTGGTCCGAGTGAAGAGAATGGGAGGAGGCTTTGGAGGGAAGGAGACCCGGAGCACCGTGGTCTCCACGGCAGTGGCCTTGGCTGCACACAAGTGAGTCTTCCCAGTGGGATCTAGGAGGAGACTAGGAAGAATAAGGCTGCCTCTGCCAGGAAGGCTTTCTGGATTCCCCCCTTTAGGAAGTAGATTCCCTTTGCTTTGCATTTTCCCAGGCTTCTGTTTTTAGAACTTTTGGGCATAAGGGTAAGGGTAACATTGCCTGGTTCTTTGTGTTCTGATGCATGTGTCCACATCGTATCTCCCTTACCTGGCTGTGAGGACCCCAAGGGCAAGGACACACTTCATGTCCTATATTCCCCACCTTGTCCTACCCAGTGCCTAGACAGTAGAGTAGCCCAGTGCAGGTGTGCTCTGTGTGCCAGCTGGAAAATAAAAAGCTCTCCTGCTGTTTTTATTCCTGAGACTCACAGGGCTGGGCTGTTGTGGACCCCTGGTTTCTGACCCTCTGATGCCTCCCTCAGGACCGGCCGCCCTGTGCGCTGCATGCTGGATCGTGACGAGGATATGCTGATAACTGGTGGCAGAAACCCCTTCTTGGCCAGATACAAGGTTCCAGATATCAGGGGCTGTGCCAGGGCGGGCAGTGCCATCTCATAGGAAATCCTGGGATGTACTCTGACTTTTTTCATGACTATCTGTAGAAGTTTAAAGAGGAACTAGCAATGAGAGAAATTCAAATTGGCCAACAGCAACATAGAGGGGTGATGTTGTCGGGGCTGGCAGGCCACCTCCCAAGCAATGTCACAGGGTGGTGTTCACATCTTTTGTGAATTTGCTGTGTTCCAAATATGGTCTTTATCCACTCAGGCTTAGAAACTTTTGTCAGCAGACCTACAGTAAACCCATCCTGCAGGATGGCCAAATGTGAACATGTTCATGGCCTGATGTAAAAATCTGAATGGCTGCTTAGTAATTCACAGTGAGAACTAAAACTCCCAAGGGCCTGGATAGGTACAAGTTGTTAGGGTAGGCACCTGCTCTGCCAGACCTCATGTGCTGGGTACTGCTCACTTTCCCTGTAGGACAGGCCCTTTTCTGGGCTCCTGTGGTTGGCCAGTTCCTGTTCTGACTGTGT